GACATATGTATGTACATTAGGGTGGTCCAAAAATGCATGTTCATAAACGAAAAGTCCTAATTTGAATGCTCTCATCATTGTTAAATAAGCAATTGGTTATTATTATTATTGAAAGTCTCCTGAAGAGACGATTTTTTCCCCCATATAAAATACATGGAAAACTTTGAACGACCTCTAAATACTTTTTGAAGTCGGGTAAAGGATAATTCTAGGGGGTGAGAGCATTATTTTTTTTTTTTTTTACCACCATAATGTACATATGCATCGTTTGCTGGAAGAATGTTAAAACTGAAAAAAATCCTTGGTTCATTAATTAGTGACATAGTGAATTTTTTCTTGATATAATTGCCAAACAAAGTTGAAATGAGTACAATTACCAGGAATACAGATTTCCTTCTTATGATACAAATTGTTTTTCCAGAAAACGATCAAAGTGCTAAATTATGAAAGCATCGCGAATTTTTACGCAGAAAACGAAGCCTAAAACCATAACTATAAACATAGTGTATAAAAATGTATTTATTTTGCTTATAGTTACGTACATTTACTCTTCGTTTTCTGCATAAACTTGCGCAGTATAATAATAAACATTTATGTATGCATGTAGATGATATTTTTCGATGGCGAAGAGGCTATCAAGGATTGGTCAGATAACGATTCAATCTATGGCGCACGTCACTTAGCAGCCAAATGGTCCAATACTCGTTCGTCAACTGGCTCGGGGCGAAGTATCGATAGAATTGTAAGTCACGAACTAAAAATTTTCTTTTTCTCCTAATTCTTTTAATCGTTTTTTTTTTTTATTTTAGGAAGTGTTAGTGTTGCTCGATTTAATTGGTGCTGCTAATCCCAAATTTTATAGTTTTTATCCGAACACTGATGGGTTGCATCACAGTTTGTCTGAAATCGAATTGTCTTTGTCAGGTGCTCATCAGCTCGAGGGTCACAATTTAATGTTCATGAAACGATCATCATCTGGATTTGTCGATGACGATCACCGACCTTTTCTCCAACAAAGTGCGTCATATTCTATTATTTATTTTTTATATTGTACTTACTTTTGCTTGCTTTAATTTGATTGTTTTATTTAAGATGTGCCGATTTTGCATCTGATAACCACACCGTTCCCGCCACAGTGGCATACTCCGAACGATAATGCCGCAAATTTGCATTGGCCATCAATTCGTAATTTTAATAAGGTTTTCCGTGCTTTTGTTTACGAATATCTACAGAGGCATACGGATCAGGTGAATTTACGCGGAATAGTTAGTTAGAAATAAATTGACTATAAATAGTATACGAGTATCTGCTAAATTTACTTTCAATCTTTTTATCCCGAATATATGTACATACATTAGGGTGATCGAAAATAACTAACCTAACGAATTTATGGCCTTATAAGGAGGGAGAAAATTCTCCCATTAGAAAAAATTTTTATTCAAATTTTAAAAGGTATGGGTGGGCATTTGAAAATTGTCATGTAAATAACATGTAAATTTTTTTTTTTATTATAAATGTTATAACTAGGGAATCTCATGCACTAAAAAATCGAAAATATGCGCTTTTCCTAAGATTCTCCTAATATTTTATTGTCGGTACAAAAATAACTAACACATCCATTTTAACAAGAAAATAACGAAATCAATTTACTTCAACATACCATACACATTTATGTAGAAAATTTGTTTATAATCAAGCAGTCATTTACAATCTTGTGTAAATAGAAACACTAACAGTTTAATTCAAGACCGATCAATACAAGGTGGTGTTAACGGAGCCGCTGATTTCACGACGAATTTATATCTTTTGTCAAAATGATGTGTTTGTTGTAATTTCGTTTTGTACTGATTGTCAATGTGCGTATAATTTGTTATTGTAATTTTTGTTTTTGTTCTGCCAACACCACCTTGAATAAATTCGCCTTGGTTTAATAGTTTGAGAAAGTTTGCCATTTGGATTCCACAACTCGTGCAAGCTACAGCGAGGCAGCTGGAGAGAAGCAGCTTCACTGCAGAGTGTCTTTAGCCTTATCCTTGCGAGGACTGGACAGTCGCAAAATATGCAAAATTAGACATTTTTTGCAAAATATGCAAAATCATGCATTTACTGCAAAATATGCACTAACGATGGAATTTTAAAGGAAATTTCATGATTCGTAAAGATAACTTAACCATTTCCATTTGAAGATGCCCAATAAAAACATGCATTTGCATGAGATTCCGAGCCCTAGTTATAACTATTAAATCGTTTAAGATAAAATTTTTTTCTTGGTATATTCTTGTAGGGCATTAAATTCTCAAAAAAATTACGCTCTAGTGGATTAGTTGATAGAGTCAAAAATGCATATACTTATGGGCTAAATAGTTATAACATTTTTAATGAAAACAACATGGTCTTTACATGGAAAATTTCAAATGCGCACCGATACCTTTGAAAATTGGAATACAATCTTTTTCCAAATTGGGGAATTTTCTTCTCAGTAAATAGGTCCTTTTAAGGCCATAAATTTGTTAGGTTAGTTTATTTGGATCACTCGTATACATATACGTGCATGCAGATGTTTGTTTGTATACCAGGTGATAAACTTGTACCATAATGATAAAAAGTATTCATATTTATACTGCGAATAAAAATTGGGTATATGAGTCATATACGATGACCATCCATTCTTTAGTTTAAAGTAAAGTTTGCAAATCATTTTACATTCCCGCCTTTTGTTACTTTTACTTTGATCCTATAATTTCTTAAACTGTTCCTTGAGTGTACCTTGGCACCTATAAATGCTCTCAACTCTTTAGTTTTTAAAGCGATTGGGTTGAGATTTTTGCCCATTGTAATATACCAAAATGTTACACAAGTCTCTAGTGTCTACGCGCGAGAGCGCTTCTTGGTGGAAAGGAAAATGGGGTAAGTTTGGCTTAAGTTTTGCAGAGGAGAAAGCAGAGGAGGTGGTGGCTGCCGTCAATCCTCCTGCTACTGCTTCTCCCAAAAGGAACACTGTCCACGGTTATTTCTTCTACGGAAATCAGTAGCCTCTTGTGAGATGCAGGAGTACCAAAATCTGCTGGTGGGAGATGCACAAGTAGGAGTCTAGTGGCTTTGCCCTTTACTACCTATCCCGATGCTCTCTCAAAACGTATTGATGACGCGCAAGCGGGTGTTACCGCCGCTGCCGGGAATGCGGGCTTAGCGGAAGTTTGTCCGGAGAAGGCCGATTTCACTTTTGCGCCCATGAAAAGGTGGCAGGTTAGGAATAAGATGGCCTTTTCAAAACTGGCTTCTTGCTCCACGGCTACTCTGGTTTCAATCGGGATCTCAGGCGGAGCGAGCGTAAGTGAGGGTAGGGCCGTTTCTGCCAAGCTTTATACGGTATTACCCGGCTTTCTCAGAAGCAGGAGGGCCCGAACGTTTCGTGCCATCGTCCTCTCACCCTTGCTGGGTCGTCATGGTAAACGATCTACTAGAAGAGATGGAGAAACACGGCTGTCGGGTAATTANGGCCTCACCCTCAACCGCAGTAAGACACAACTGGTCTTATTCACTGGAAAATATAAAATCCCCGACGCTGTTCCTCCCACAGTTGGAAGTCAGCGCTTACAGCTGTCTGACAGGATCAAGTACTTAAGCTTGATCCTTGACACGAAGTTGTCGTGGAGACCAAATATCGAGGAAAGGGCAAAGAAGGTATCAGTGGTTTTATATTGCTGTAGGGAGCTATTGGTAAGATATGGGGTATTTTTCCCAATGTTGTTTATTGGCTCTACGAGACCGTAGTCAAGCCAAATATGTCTTATGGCGCCCTAGCCTCAGGGAACCCACTACCACTAGCTAAGCAGCTGGAGCGAGTACAACGGACTGCTTTAAATAGTATTAGTGGAGCACTGCGGACCACCCCCACATTAACACTGGACGTATTGCTGAATGTAGTGCCTATCGGCTCGGCGATTAGACTCAGGGAAACCGATTTGTTGACCGACTTAAGGACTGGACACTTTGGAGTTCTAAGGGCTTTTATTTCATCCCTGATCGCACAGATTACTGCACCACCGAAATGGCTCCAAGGAGCTTTTCCTCTGCCCACTTTCCCTCAAGGGAGGATTAGGCCGGGCGGAACTTCTAGAGAGGGGAAGCGGTAAGCTTCTTCGCGGAAATGAAAGAATGCGGATAAACTGATAAAGTTAAGGAATTGATCCCTTTATCATTTTAAATGAAGACCGCTACTAAGACCAAGAGCTTGTCTTATACTAGGTTCACATATAAGTAGATTATCCTCATTTTCGAGCTTAACATCCTAATCTGTAATTATAACAAGAGATTAGCCATATAAAATTCGTCCCTTGTTAATCTGTAATTATAAAATAATCTCAGATTTAACCGATAACTTTTCGGTGCCCATCCTAGTTTTATCGATTGTTTTTGCGAAAAAGAGGAGAAATACCAAATGTAAAAGTAAACAAAAATGTACGCTAGCAAGTAAAATAGGTTTGCAAAGGTATTTTTAATAAAATTTTAAGTTAAAATATATTTATATTGCTTATTATAGCAGAAAAACGTGATCACGGTGGCACAGAGAAGCAACATAACTTTTCCTTGAGATGTGAGAATAACAAGCACAACAAATTTGACGGCTAATAATCTGAGATTTGCCTGTGTAAACGGGGTGATTAAAAAACGAGCTTTGATTGAGATAATATTGATATGTGAACATAGTTTTAGAGTGCCGATCAGCTGATTACTTGCTAGTTTTGCGTTTTTTTTTACTTTTTCGTTATTTCGCTCTCTGTGAGCGTAATTCTTTAAATTTTCTCATTCTTCTTCTTCCTGAAAACTATCTGTTAGAAAGGAAACAAAGCCAATATCTGCTTGATAAAGTTATCGGTTCAGATGAATACCACTAATGTAAGGTTTGTATAGTAACCAATAGTCAGTACTAAGTTGCACTGGAACCTGCTGGAAAAGAGTATGATAGCCCAATTCTTCTATAAATCATGTCGTTTTGTTAACTTATTCTTTACCTTATGTGTGCACACATTGTCACAAGCGAAAATTTAGAAAATTGCAGTAAAAAGCCGCCACCAAATTGTAAACAACGAACAAATGTAAATAAACGGCTAATGTCAAAGTCGCCCATGCGATTATAACGGGCTACTAAGAAGAAGGCGTGATCTTGTATTTTTGGTTCATGATACAAACCTGTAATTATAATTATAATATAATTATATATATAAAATAATTATATATAAAATAATCTCAGATTAAACCGATAACTTTTCGGTGTCCAACCTA